GACTGTCTGGTTGTTAGATCACGTGTGCATTCCACACACTCCACCCACTCAAGCTCGGGTACCCAGCGATGTTAAGCGTGTTGGTGACGTCGTAAATGGTCTCCAAGAAGAGCTGGCGCAGAACCGCCCTGGCCGCCGCGGTCGACGTGTCGAAGTTCGGCGAGGTGCCCCACGTCGTGGAATCGCTGCAAGTGACCATCAGCATCAATATCAAAAACAATACTTGAACAAAAAAAACTTGGTTTCAGCACGGCCGCCCGTACCGAGAGCGCAAGCGGAAAAGAGTGTCGACAATGACGCGACCCACGAGGTAACCCTCTAGCTCAGTGAAGGAGGCCGTTGTGTTACTTTCCGAGCTCTGCATATCGTGCCCCCTGTTAGCACGGAGATTCGCTGTACTGGAGAGAGCAAGTACCGCGTCCTTGGTGCTGATGTACTCGGCCACGATCTTGGGCTTCGCCTGAGCTGGGTCGGGGAACGGGACCACCTGACGCCATCACAAAATATCAACCAAAGTTGGCAACGACCGATATTTTGTTTTGAAAACAAATATCAGTATAATATAGAAATTTATATGGCGAAGGAAGCATTACCTGAGTGACGTACAGGGCGAGCGCTCCGTCGGGCCGGGTGGGTGTGATGCCTTGTAGTTGCAGGAAACCGGAGAACAACTCAGGACCTACAACCGAGGCTGTAGCCAGGAGATGAGGAGCATGGATTGGGTGAGGTGCAGAATTCACCTGCAGTGCAGCAGGAGAGGACTGTCTGGCACCGTACCTACGACGAAGTAGGTGTCACGACATTGCAGGCACCCACTGGTCGAGCTGAGGTTCCGCCACATACTGATGAACATGACGATTTGCTACAAAGATGAAGAAGAAGCTAAGAAGGATGATGATGACTCTGACTGGGGGAAGGGTGTACCGTACCGCGAAAGAGCCGAAACAGACAATACCTTCGGGCTGGGCTGTACCATTGGCGTAGACATCCTGAACGGCTGGACCGATGGTTTGAGCACTGACTGCCGCATTCTTGTCATACACTCCCTGGCTTACCAGCTGGCCAGTACAGAAAATTGCGTATCAACATTTTTAAACTTACATTTTGGAATTATGTACAAAATTTAGCCCTTGAAAAAAAAGGGAGTACCTGAAGGCCGAACAGGTTGAAGGCGAGGGTGAGGTTGCTGAAGCCGAACAGGGCGATGCTCTCGTTCTGGTAAAACGCTGCAACCTTGGTGAGCTGCAGCTCGGTGCTGAGGAAGCTGAGCATAGTGTTGACTTCGTCGGCATAACTTGCCCGCACGTTGACGAACAATCTGATGGCGCAAGGTGGGGATCAGCCACTCCAGAGGAGCTACGAAGAGAGTCATCTTTGGGGAGGTGTTCGAACCTGTTGAAGGGGGCGTAGAGGTTGTAGTTGCCCGCGTACGGGCCAATGAGAGGGGTGTTCTTTTGGGCGCACACGTACGCCGCTCCTTTGGGTTGGACAATGGGTCATCACACAAGCGTTCACAACAGGCCGAAACAAAAGGAAAAATGAGGAAAGTGGCAACTGCGAACGGACCTTGCGACTGCTCTGCACCAATGACCCCGGCGATGGCGAAGACGCTCAGGTTGTCTATCATGTTTGCAACGTTGGCCATGGTATTCGCGAGGGTGTTGTTGTCTTCTTGCACCAGTAGCACGAGCTGATGCCCGTTCACCCCGCCGTACTTCTCGTTCACCTCCTTGAAGGCCAGGTTAATGCCCGACGCGAATTGGACGGCCAAGTGGGCGGCTGGATGCGTGGCGGTGTTGCGCGGCGCCGACATGCCAAACACGATGGTAGAATTCGAAGCGCAACAGGCCTCATGGGCGCCGAGGGCCAGGAGAATACCAACGACAACAACACCCACGAAGCTTGTTGAGCGCATCATCTTTGGCAACTACAGGTCGGGGCGGTGCTGGTAGAAGATGGACGACAGAGAGAGAACTACGTAGGCGTAACCGTTTCGAGTCCTGGGCTTTCTTTCCAACACTGAACCAATCCAGCCATTGCATGTAACGCCTTTTTAAATTTCAATAGTGCATGTGCCCGTACATGGAGTTAGGATGGCATAAACAGCACGTGTGGTTGAGCACTCAGGTCTGTTTGACCATGCTGGCGGCAGGGCAGACATGACAGCTACCATTGGCCTTTGCCAGCGGTTGTCTCCTTTTGTGTGGTTG